AGAGAGAGAGAAAGAAGAATGGAGAAAGAGAAAGAGCAAGGAAGAGAGAGAGAGAGGGGAAGTGAGAGATAGAGGAAGGGAGAGAGAGAGAAGGGGGGAAGAGTGAGTGAGAAAGAGAGAGAGGGAGAAAGAGAAGGGGAGAGAGCGAGAAAGAGAGAAAGGGAGGGAGGAAGGGAGAAAGAGAGAGAGTGAGAGGGAGAAAGAGAGAGAGGAGAGGGAGAGAGAGGAGAGTGAGAGGGAGAAAGAGAGAGAGAGAGTGAAAGGGAGAGAGAGAGAGAGTGAGAGGGAGAAAGAGAGAGAAAGAGAAAGAGTGAGAGGGAGAAAGAGAGAGAGTGAGAGTGAGAGAGAGTGAGAGGGAGAGAGAGAGTGAAAGGGAGAGAGAGAGTGAGAGAGAGAGAGAGAGAGTGAGAGAGAGAGAGTGAGAGAGAGAGAGTGAGAGGGAGAAAGAGAGAGAGTGAGAGGGAGAAAGAGAGAGAGTGAGAGGGAGAAAGAGAGAGAGTGAGAGGGAGAAAGGTAGAGAGAGAGTGAGGGAGAAAGGTAGAGAGAGAGTGAGAGTGAGCAAGCAAGCGCGAGAGAGAGAGAGAGAGAGAGAGAGAGAGAGAGAGAGAGAGAGAGAGAGAGAGAGAGAGAGAGAGAGAGAGAGAGAGAGAGAGAGAGAGAGAGAGAGAGAGAGAGAGAGAGAGAGAGAGAAAGGGGGAGAGAGAGTTTGCAATGATGAGGACATAACTTTCAATTCTCTTGGTGGGAATAATAACAAGAAGAAATATATATGATAATCCACAGCCAAAGATAATGAAGATAATTATTTTCCAAACTTATTTCAGAAATTAAAGGACTTAAAAGCTGTGAAGCCAAATGCAGCAGATTCCACGGGGAAAAAAGTATTTAAGAAGATCATATTCCTATCGTCTGTGGGAAGAAACGCCATTGTCGTCATCGTCGCTGGCATCATTGCATTTGTTGCTCCAGAAAACACGTTCCAGCTGACAAGTAATTTTTTCTTGTTTTTATCATTAACTGTATGAGTATTAGTGGATTTATTATTCTGATATGTAAGGACTGCGCGATCATTGCGGTTCCCAGAATACCTTTCACAGCCCTCGTGCACACACATACACCATACCATCACACGCACGTCCCACACGCGCGTGCACGCACGCATGCACTCACGTACACATACATGCGCGCACGAACTCCCAAACTAAACTCTCCCGCCTTGCAAGGTGACTACTCTGTCCGTCCCATCGCTTCCAGAAAGGGTGGACGGGGGCATGCCAAGCTTCCAGCTTCCTCCCTTTTCTACCGAAGTGAACAACGTCACCTACTCGTTCGGCGACATGATGACGTCCGTCGGCTCGGGGGTCGCCATCATTCCTCTCATTTCTATCCTGGAAAGCATTGCCATTGCCAGTGCATTCGCCGGAGGAAAGACCATTGATGCTACTCAAGTAGGTGACGCTACAAGAAACTGTTCCTTTGCTAGTAGGTCACCGTAGATAGGCAGTTTCACAGTATACCTTTGCATAACTGATCGCGAAGACTTTGGTATCGATTGATTGGTCTCACCCGCTAGTGTGCATATAAATAGGAATTATGCCCGGACCCCCCCCCCCCCCATACCACCACCACCACCACACCACCACATTCTTGGCCCCGACAGCCTGGTAGGCCATGAAAGGTAACAGGGGGATTGCGGGTTGAAATATAAATCATATACACAGTCACTATATTATCTAACGAAGGGAGCTGTCCCCCCTGCGACCCCCCATAGGGAGCGTCGCCCCTCCAACCCCGCCAAGGGAAACAGACTGCGTTTACATGGCGAGAGAGAGCGTCGGACAGACTCGGCATCGGAAGCTCTCTCCTGCCGTGGGCACGTGGAGCATCCTTCGCCTTCCTTTGCGGGGGCTGAGGGGCAGGAGCTCCCACGGAAGGGGAGTCGTGTGTCCTCCCTTGCTATCGTCGCTAAGGAAGGTTTCCGCGGCATAACTTCGATATGTATGTATTGTAGGGAAAAGTGGAATCCACCGATACCAAAATCGTCGCGATCGTTTATGCGAAGGTATTCTGTAAAATTACCGACAGGCATGATATGCCCGCCAGTGCATCTGTGTAAACAACGGCGGAGCCAGCCTCATGAAGGTGGGAGGCCAATGTAGTCTCAACGTTACGCTGAAGGCTCAGGGTGGGAAACAATTAGTTTCAACAGTTTTTAAATCAGCACTAATTTTTTAAATTTCTCATTTCTATTCGAAAAAATCCCCCTTTTAATTCTGAGGCCTCTCAATTTATTTCTTACTTCTTATCCCAGAAAATTTTTAAGATGTTTAAAAACATTTGGTACTAAAATGCAGAAAGTTTCAAATTAAATTGTAAAACTTTTATCACAAGTGAGTGAATGCACATTAGAAAATGAGGGGGTCCGGACCCCCCATTCCCCCACCCATGGCTCCGCCACAGTATTAAGAAAATCGTGTTTCTTTGCGAAAGGCAGATATGTTCGATTTCCTAGTTACTTAGGTCCGTCAGCTTCGAGAAGTATTCCAGGACGGATTTGTTAGTTATTCCGATAGGTCATCGTGGAAAAGTGTCCTAGGAGAAAGTTTGATATGATGCATAGATTGGCTGGTAAAATGTGATGTGAATATTTGCATTTCAAATAACAAAAGACTGAATATATGTGATTTTGCCAGTCCTTAGAACTTGATGCTATGTATACGCATTAAACTAATGATTAGAACACCAAACTCATTTGTTTTCTGGTATGTACTGGTGTATCAACCAGTCTTTCTAGCTCTAGTCACTCATGCAAAATTATGATTTGCAGGAAATGATCGCCCTTGGTTTCTGCAATATTTTGGGGTCATTTGTGCAATCGATGCCCGTCACTGGATCTTTCTCTCGAACGGCCGTCAATGCCACGAGCGGGGTCAGGACGCCGGCGGGGGGCGTGGTGACCGGACTGCTGGTGATGCTGGCGTTGGCCTTTCTGACGCCTTACTTCAGGTCAGGAGTGTCTCCCCTGATTAACACACGCACATGCACACGCATACACACATACGCATACACGCACGCATACACGCACGCATACACACATACGCATACACGCACGCATACACACACACTTTCACACACGCATACACACACGCTTACACACACGCTTACACACACGCTTACACACACGCTTACACACACGCTTACACACACACATAAATACACACACGCTTACGCACACACACACAAATACACACACACACGTAAATGCACACACACACATAAATACACACATAATAATACACACTTTAAGCAAGATATCTATATTTATTAGATATCTAATTAGATACACACACAACACACACACATAAACACACACACACACATAGATACACACTTTAAGCCAGATATATCTATATCTAATTACTATATATATTATATAATATATATTATATATATATATATATATATATATATATATATATAATAAATTATATATATATATATATATATATTATATATATATATATATATATATATATATATATATATGTATCATATAGTAACTTGATATAGATATAGCTGGGTTACACACACAGACACAAATACACAAACACACATGTACACACACATACACACACGCTTTCACACACGCTTACACACACGCTTACACACACACTTACACACACACATAAATGCACACACGCATAGATACACACACGCATAGATACACACACGCATAAATACACACACGCATAAATACACACACGCATAAATACACACACGCACACACACACAGACACATACATACACATACATGCCACATACATACAGCCACATACATACAGCCACATACATACAGACACATACACACACGCATACACACACGCTTTTACACATGCTTACACACATGCTTTCACACTTGCTTACGCATACGCTTTCACACGCGCTTACGCATACGCTTACACATATGCTTACACACACGCTTATACACACGCCTATACACACGCTTACACACACGCTTACACACACACACACACACACACACACACACACACACACACACACACACACACACACACACACACACACACACACACACACACACACACACACACACACACACACATACATACATACACACATAAATAAACACACACATTAATACACGCACACACATAAACACACACACACACATAAATATGCACACACACTCATAAATACACACACACATAAATATGCATACACACACACAAATACACACACATAAATACATCCACACACCATACCCCACACACACATAAATACACCCACACACACATAAATACACCCACACACACATAAATAAACCCATACACACATAAATACACACATAAAAATACACACACACAAATACACACACACAAACACACACACGCAAATACCCACACAGAAATACACACACACAAATACACACACACGCACACGCATACATGCACACACATGCACACACACGCACACACACGCACACACACACACACGCACACTTGCACACACACGCACACATGCACACACACAAACAAGTAATTGAAGACATATAGACTAGACAGATTGAAGAATGAGTGTCCAATTATAACAGGGGTGGGAGCAGGACTTGCATAATTATGATGATTATAACTGATGTAAGTGAAGTAACAGTATTATGAGAAATAATATACTGATATTATAAACTGAATCTAGAATGCAGGATTATAGAAAATATATTAACAGCAGGTGATGCAAGTCTTACTGTTTTAATCATATATATTGCAAAATATGTAGTATAGTGGTACTCAGTTTGGACTATGTGCCCGAAGTGCTGAATCTCTCTTGATTTTTTCTGGATCAGTGGGTGGTACCAGCATGCAAATATTTATATATCTGCCTTTCTCTAGGTTTTCTACATAGTGCTGAGAGTAAGCTTCTTTTCACAGATACATTCCTAAGGCCACATTGTCAGCTATGATCATCTGCGCAGTGATATTCATGGTGGAATACGAGATGGTCCTCCCAATCTGGAGAGCAAGGAAGTTGGACCAGCTACCTCTCTGGGGTTCCTTCCTCACATGTTTGTTCTGGAAGCTTGAGTATGGTATCTTGGTTGGGGTTGGCATTAACCTGGCCATTCTCTTGTATGGTACTGCTCGACCCAAGGTTGGGGTGACAGCCGTGATGAGACAGGTAATTATATTTTACGTTATATTTATAACAAGTATTTTTTTTCCATTTATTTCTTTGTTGTAATTTACTCACTAGAGTTCTTTTCTTTCTTTTTGTAAAGAACAATTAACAAGAGGACATTGCTGATTATGCTGCCTGTGATACTTCAAGTTTTATTTGCAGTTGATAATTTTTACCCTAGGAGTAATATATGATAAGAGAACTACTAGCCACAAAAGTATCTTTGGATATATGCTGTTTATGATGTAGAAATCAGACAATAGGTGCTGTCTGTAATAAGGGTATGTTAATCTGGATACCAGATTAAACTTTTAATTTTATGGTAATATTAGAAGCTTATATTAATTAATTAGAATTGAATTAGAATAAAAAACAAATTTAATATAGAATTTATTACTTTTTAGCCATTCTAAGGTTAACAGATGTTATAGGAATTAACAGTCACACATCTCATCTTGGTACCAACTTGATAAAGGAAGCTTGCTCACATTTTGTCTGCATTAACTTCATTTGAGTTTACATAGTTATCCTCATTTTCTTGAACATCAGCAATTGATGACCAAAATTATATATAATACAATACATAGGTATATATTCAGGTTAGCATACGATATGCAGCTACATAGGTTCACTATTGCAGTGAATGTTGAACCCAGACCAAAGCAAAGATTAAAGGATATGAGCCTTTAAGATCGATTAATTCAAGAAAGAAAGAAAGGTGAGTGTTGTAGAAGATTTCAGAAAGGGTTTTGTTGCAAAGGGAAAAATATAGCAATGAGTGATGATATTGATCATATACATTTTATGGCTGAAGCTTTTGTGTGAAGGCTAGAGCATTGTGCCTTTTCTGTCTAGCTTTTACATGAAGAGAGAATATAGAAATTCTGTCATAAGCTTTGCTTTATCTGTTTTTTATTCTCTGGTCTTACCAAAGATTCCTTGAATTTTATAAAAGCTCATTTCATTGACAGTGCTCTCCCAATACTCAGTTATTATTTTCATTCATATTTGTGATGCACAATAAGGCACATTAACATTGAAATGAGGCAGCCAAATGTGACATTGCAGTTTGATATTCAAAAGTAGTTTTCTTTTCTGTTTCAATAGTTGGCAATAGTGTATAAGAGGTGTTAGTATTTTTTTTTATTTTTTAGAAGTATAAAATTCTGGAAATCATTAGATAGCACTGTGCAGTAGTAATTTAATTAGTTTAATGTTTAATACAAAATGAAAAAAACAAACACAAAGAAAAATGTATCAGGAAAATTTGGATTCATTTGTTCCTTCTTTTTTACCCATGAATCAAAGCTTGCTTATGATTCACCATTTGTGTTGATTTCACAGGAGAATACATTAACAAGTGTGTGCAAATTTGCATGGCATGTAACCCAGTGGATGTTTGAGCAGCAATGTTTCTTTGCTATTTTTTTCTTTCTTTCTTTTTTTGCCAGTGCTATCCCATGCAGTGCAGATTAGTAGTAGTGGAAGAAGCAAAGTCTCACACAGCAAATATAATTATATAGTTGAAGAAATATGATGCCATTACAAAATTGTTCTGAGTGTTTTGTTTTGATATCTATAACAGTCTTTTTCAATAAAATCCGACAATGTTCTTGATAATATAACCAGGAGAAGCAGCTGCATTTTTTACAAGTGATGTTTATTATATTGTAATTATTATGAATTTACATTGGATGCTTCCCCCTTCCTAGGATGGAGATGAACCTGCGTATATTTTGGTGGAGCCACGTAGTGGTCTTTTCTTCCCATCGATTGACCATGTAAGATCAGTTGTAAGCAAGGCAGGCCGAGGAATGGCCAATGGAAACCTGACAGTTGTCGTGGACTGCAAACATTTTGTTGGGGTTGATTTTACTGCTGCCAAGGTAAATAATCGTGAAAGATATTTAAAGATTTAAATAAATGGTAATGTATAATTGTAGGTATGGACCTGAGCAAGAAATAATTTTCTTGCAAGGATATATAACCTTAGTTTTCTTTAGCACTTTCTAGCAGGATTTTAGAGTATGTAGTATAAGTGTTTATATATCATTATTTTTGTTTGTATGTGTGTGTGTGTGTGTGTGTGTGTGTGTGTGTGTGTGTGTGTGTGTGTGTGTGTGTCTGTGTGTCTG